GCCTTATATGCCCCCTCAGTTGCGGAGGCATCATTACTTAATTATCCAATAGAAGAATTCAAAACAAAATAAATTTCTTAACAAAAGCATAAATACAGGATACAAGATGAAAAGAATTTGACAACAAACATTGCAAGTGCTTCTCCATGCAGCCTCTCAATGGAATTAGTTTCAGATTGTAAAGGTGCCTGCAAACCTAGGTTGAAACAGGGATTAGATAGGAATACCAGATTTTTATTTTTTAAAAAAAACTCTTTTTTTTTAAAGTGGGAAACTAGTAAATTATTTATATATTTATGTTATGCCAACGGCGTTTTAATTTTTTATAAGCATCTTTATGGGGTTAGTGTCATGTAAATTCAAGAAATAATTAAAAGGACCAGCCTCAAGCCTAATAGTTAGTTCCAAGAATTCTTTTCATGCTACATATATTTCAGCAACATTTTCGGAAAGCAAAAATGAAAGGGGACTATAGCCCTGTGTTTTGTTGTGTGTGTGTGTGTGTGTGTGTGTGTGTGTGTGAGAGAGAGAGAGAGAGAGAGAGAGAGAGAGAGAGAGAGAGGGAGGGAAAGAGAGAGATTCCTTGGCAACCCATGTGCTTTGTGTCTTATGTTATGACTTGTGTTTCAAGTAAATGTTTACTTACTTACAGGTGGTTTGTGGGGAATGGCCAAGATAAGAAGTGTTTTGTGAGAATACATGTAATGTGTAATATTTCCTATGGGTGTGCTGATTCCAATAGATTAGGCACCCTCGAATAGCTTATTTTGTTTATTATTGTCATACCTGCTGTAAAATTGCTTTGCTTTGCAAGATGTCAGTCTGCCATAGGCAATGGGGAGAGCTGCTGGGTGGGATAAAAAAGAGGAGGCTAGCATAAAGGGAATCGAAATTAAACTTTGTACCATCCCAGGCACCAGCAGATCCATGGCATGCACCACCAATTTGCCCGCCGAGCAAGGGACTGTTCCCAAAACCTGGTGGGCAGTTTAGTTGAAGATTAAATCACATTGTGGAATGAATTTATGGTGGAGTTCTTTAAACCATGTTGCTTTCATTTAGCCTTCCAACCCCTGGGGGCACCTTGATTCCCTGAAGAACTAACAGAGATGAAGCTTTGGACAGAAAGGTTTGAAAGAGGGGTCAATGAGGCCATCTACTGTATGTCAAAACTGAACAGCCTTCTCTCAATAGAGAGAGGGATATGACATCATCTATCTTCAGTCTATAATACAGTCCTTTCAACAGTTCTAAGAAGGCTCCACACCCATTTGCACTACTCAGGTGGCAGATAAATCTCCAGGTGGCCTCAATGACTCTCTAAAAGAATACAAATGACCAGCTGTCTGCAAGGAGTATAAATCCTTCCATTTCCCCATCATCTAGTCCAGGGGTTCAAACTCGTGATGTCATGTGACGTTGCGCAATGTATCAGGATGGTTTTGGGGTGGGCAATGGGGTGGGCGCAGCTTCAGTACAATGAAACCGGCCCGCGGGCCAGCAGTTTGACAGCCCTGATCTAGTCAGAGCTAAAGAAGCTTCTTGGATGAGAATCAAAATGTCTTCAAAGGAAAAATAAGGAAGTCCAGTTGCCTCATGAAAAAGCATCTTTGGGAGAACTATGACCTGCATGACTGAGGATCTCCATAGACATCTGGGAGATGAAGTGACAGAAGAGGCCCTTGGAGCACCATTGGAAGCAGATAATCTGGTTGAACATGATTGGGATTACCTTGTGGCAATAAGAGCATTTTAATGTTATTTCTCTGCCTTTATCACATCTGCAAACAGCTGTAAAGGAGTCTTGTTTAGGGTGACCTGCTCTTTGCTGGAACTTCAGGAAAGGCCACTGTGAAGAATATTTGAGCTAGCTGGCAGATAAAGATTGATTGGCAGGTCTAACTGAGGTTTCTAGAACACCATCTTTGGGTTGCCTGTACTGAGTTTGACTTCCAAATGCAATTTAGGTTATCACCTATTAATACCTTTCATGGCATAGGGCCTGGTTATTTGAAAGATCGATTATCTCAGATAGTTTCTGCTCTCTCTGTAAAGTTGGGCAGAATAGAAATATTCCTGGTCCCTTCAATTGAAAAATGTCATCTATCAGACCTCAGAGACTCACCTTCTCTATTGCAATGCATGTCCTTTGGAACAGTATCCTCCCACAAAATGGGATGGTGTAGGGCAGGGGTCTTCAAACTTGGTCCTTTTATGACTTGTGGGCTTCAACTGGCTGAGGAATTCTGGGACTTGAAGTCCACAAGTCATAAAAGGGCCAAATTTGAAGACCCCTGGTGTAGGGCTTCCATCTTGAAGGTGTTCTATCTTTGAAACCTTGGCTTTGCCTCCAGGCCCAGAGGAAGGGCGGTTGCTGTGTTATTCCAGACTTCATCATTTTTGTTGCTCTGTTTTGTTTTGTTTCTATTTGTGACTTTTAATATATAAGCCACCAGAATTAATTGGAATTGAAGGGCCTCTAGATCTAATAAAATAATGAACGGATATGTCCTATTGCAGATAATTTATGCTAAAAACATATATTGAAAATTCAAAAACACTGTGTAGCTCAAATGTAAAATAAATTACAAAATGCACATCCCATATTGTCATTATGCAATACCAAAGTCCAGCAGAGCTGGGGTACAGCTATTAACACATGCTTTTTGTTTACGCCTGCCATTTTCAGAAGAGGCTCATTTTAAAGGAAGCAATCCATTCAACCTTTTCTACATTAACTGCTGAGAGTTGTACTGATGACAGAGACATAGCACTATGCTTCATAAGTTAATACATTTAATAAATATACTGGTCCTAAATCATGGGGGGGGGGTAAAGACTTAGAAACTTACTGAAAGGCTTTGGAACTGATCTAATAAATATCATGCTGATGAACCAGGAAGGAGAGGATTTTACCCATTTTTTTCCCTCTTTAGCTTGTAAGGAACTTGGAACTGTGAGAGGGATCTTGGAGTCCTAATGGACAATCACTTAAATATGAGCCAGCAGTGTGCTGCAGCTGCCAAAAAAGCCCACACAATTCTAGGCTGCATTAACAGAGGGATAGAATCAAGATCAGGTGAAGTGTTAATACCACATTATAACGCCTTGGTAAGCCCACACTTGGAATACTGCATCCAGTTTTGGTCACCAGGATGTAAAACAATGTTGAGACTCTAGAAAGAGTGCAGAGAACAGCAATAAAGATAATTAGGGGCTGGAGGCTAAAAGATATAAGGAACGGTTGCTGGAATTGGTATGTCTAGTGTAATGAAGAGAAGGACTAGGGGTGACATGATAGCAGTGTTCCAATTTCTCAGGGGTTGCCACAAAGAAGAGGGACAACCTATTTTCCAAAGCACCTGAAGGCAGGACAAGAAGCAATGGGTGGAAACTAATCAAAGAGAGAAGCAACCTAGAACTAAGGAGAAATTTCTTGACAGTTAGAACAATTAATCAATGGAATAACTTGCCTCCAGAATTTGTGGATGCTCTAACACTGGAAGTTTTTAAGAAGAGACTGGACAGCCATTTGTCTGAAATGTTATAGGGTTTCCTACCTGAGCAGGAGGCTGGACTAGAACAAATTGTACCACTTTTAGGATATGACAATATTCAAGTACCATCAGTGCTTAGCAAGATGTCAAAAATCTGATGACTAAAAAAGAGGAGGGGGGAATTTTGAGTTTTACTGATTAGATTGAGTTGTTTTTATTGAAGTGGCTAGTTTATTATCGAAAAGTAAAAAGTTGAGGTTTGATGTTAATGCTTCATTCTACTGCAGCAGAGGAAGTTGGAAGTCAATGCCTTTTCTTTTCCCCTTCTCCCCCTCACTTTTCTTTCCCTTTTTCCTTCCCACTATGTCATACTGTTTGCGTTTGTATTTTTGTATTTTATTGTATAATCTAATAAAATGTTACAAACCATTAAAAAAAAGGAAAAAAGTACCGGTTTTAATTTCTTCATTGGCAGTTCCTTTGCTGAATCACTTTCCCTTTGCACTGACGAATGTATGATGAATTTATCCATATTTATTAATATTCACCACTACCTTGGTGCTCTTCCTTTTATATCATCTCCTCTGTCTCCCTCCTCCTCCTTTTCCAGGTGCACTGGAAGCGCTGATCAGCTGGAACTGCGTGCACCAATCCAGGGCTTTTAGGAGAGCCCCTGCAAAACCGCACACAGCTCCAGGTGAATCTCACACAGGCCTGTGCGGCGCTGCCACCGGTTTACCTCATCCACTTTTAAACTTTTTTTTACACTTTTTACAGTGCTTTTCAACCCATCATACGCGTACCATTTGCCAGCTGCCAAAGTATCACCAGTTGTCAATGCTGCAAATATTGTATATTCTTGCTTTTGACAATATGCAGAATTGTCTGGTAAATATGGGATTAATAAAGAGCAGAAGGGGTGTTGGGGGTAAAGCCCGGGAAAGAAAGAGGAAGAAAACATTTGACCTTCACACTAATTTGATAGTGTGAGATATGACAGCTAATTTAGGGAGGGAACATGCTGATAATTTAACTGCTCAGAGGAAGAGAACTTAGATCCTAGCATCCCTCCGTTGTGCCTGTGCCGACATTTTGTAACAATAAAAGACTTTTAGGAAAATAAATGCCTGGAAGTTCTTTGGAATGTTTCATTAGCCAGAACCACAACACCAATGGTACGCATACCGCGGATTGAAAAGCCCTGGACTAGAAGACCTCCAAGGTCCCTTCCAACTCTGTTATTCTATTCTATTCTATTCTATTCTATTCTATTCTATTCTATTCTATTCTATTCCATTCCATTCCATTCCATTCCACTCCACTCCACTCCACTCCACTCCATTCCATTCCATTCATAGGTCTGTCTCTTTTTGTCTATGTTTGCTGGTGTGACTTATATCAGTTGCAACTTGCATGGCTAGAATTATTACTTCTATTTCCATAGTTGCGAAAAAGAAAAATGAATTCCTGAAGTCTTTTCAAAAGATTCTGTGTATGTTGCAGGATATAGAGGCAGAAGCCAAAAAGCTACAATCCAGAGACCACTTGCTTCTCCACCCTGAAATTGTTAACCTTGAAGTAAGTCTAAAACAATTTCTCAAGTATGGCTTGAATGCTGATATTTCAGCTCTTTTCTTCATCTTGCTGTTAAATGAAATCTGTCTTTAAAAATGCAATGATTATTGTGCCTTCAGTATACTTTAAGGTCCCTTTTATCAAAATAAAGGCTGTTATCCAGTTTCAGTTTAATATCGGATTCTATCATTTCAGTGTAATGTAGTACAATGTTCATTTCATTATGAGAACTGAAAGCTTCCAAGCTGTTTTTCCATTCCCTCATTTTAGATACAGGTAGTCCTCATCATATGACCACAATTGGGATCAGAATTGTTCTTGCTAAGGAAGGAGATTCTTAAGCAAATCACACTTGATTTTATAACCTTTTCTGCCATGGTTGTTAAGCGAATCACTGCAGCTATTAAGTGAATCATGGGGTCACTGAGAGAATTCGGTGTCCTCCATTGACTTTGCTTGTCAGACGCCGGCTGGGAAGATCCCAAATGGTGATCACATGACCCTGGGATCCTGCAATCATTAACTACACGCCAGTCGCCAAGCGCCTAAACTTGGATCACCTGACCATAAGGATGCTGTGACAGTCATAAGTGTGAGGACTGATTGTAAGTGACTTCTTTCATTGCCATTGTACCTTCAAATGGTCACTATATGAATGGTTATAAGTCAAGGACTACCTGTACTGGGACTTTTTTCACCCAAATAAAGAAAATACATTCTTTAAAAAAAACTTATACCATAGTAAAATGGCTACGATATTTGTTTCAGCTTTGGCCTCTCATGAAGGTCCTCAAAATTGTCCCAAAGTATCATATGAAAGTGGTACAATTCTCTGCCCTCTCCCACATTTCCAAGTTTAGAAACAGTGCTAAAATTCAATCATACCATACTAAGCAAATCTGAATAAAAAATAAATAAAAAGAGATGGATCAGTTCCGTGTTTCCTCTGAAATTCAGAGCTATAGAGAGTAGAGGAACATCATCCCGGCCCACCAGCTCTAAATACTTCAAAAGCTAAAGGCAATATTTGAAGATGAATCAGCATTTTCACAACTGCAAACATTGGGTGGGTTTTGCACAAGAAGTATGAGAGCAACAATGACGGACAGGAAGAAAATGGAATCAGAATGATTGACAATGGAGACAGTTTAGAAATGGGAATGCAGGTAAACAATTTTTTAAAAAAACAAGTTATTGAGAGAGGAAGGATGAGACCGATGGCTTGGGTAATTCTTCAAGGAAGAAATATTTATTAGGTAAAACATTAGGCTATTGAACATTTGTTTGGGCTACTTCCACAAATAATTATTAAGCAGAAATCTGAATTAAGCAAGATTTTTTCCACCAGTGCCAATGCTCTGGTTTTGAGATTTATATATAACTGAGATTATTTTATTGCCCTCTGAGAATGAAAGAAGAAAAAAGTGAGGTAAATAGGTAATAATAACTTAATTCAGGGGATAGTAGGGCAAGTCTGAATTTATTGGACAATGGGACCTATTCTTTAATATCAAGATCTGCATTTTAACAGTGAATCCCAGAATATCACAGTTTTTAATGCCAGAAAACCTCATGGAACCTTGAACAGATTTCTGAATTTGTTCTATTCCCTTGACATTGTAGATTTAAAGAACAAAAACATTCTTTAAACCAGTAGAATTCATGGTTGTGCTTATGTAAATGTCAAGCCATTTTTAGCCTCCGAATGTTTTGGACAAGGTTTTTAAAAATGAAAATGTTCGCGAATAACACCGTGGTTAAGAAAAGAAACTATCTGTTTCAAAGAAATAATTATGAAATTGAAGGATTACCTTTCTAATACATTATTCACCACAAGAGGGCACATCCAATTACTGCATATTTACTTTAGTAGTGAGATCCTTCCGATCTCCATTATATTGTATAATTGAGGGATTTAAGATTTAGCCACTAAGTAGTTTGGCCTTCTCTAAATTACTTCAAACATAAAGCAAGCTGTAATAATGTTTCATATATTCAGATCCTTTCGCTATTGTGCTGATAAATAATAGGTTTTATTGTGAAGCAGTTAAACTGCATGTCATGTTTTATTTTATTTTTTTTCCAGACTCTTTACTGGGCCAAATTAGAAGAATCCATTCCTAAATGGGAGCCATTTTTTTTAGGAAGAACACAAGTCCCAATTGGTTTTAAAAAAAATATCACATCATCAATAAAGCACATAAGATCAGCACCAAGATAAACTGGAAACAAAGATGGAAGCATGTCCATGGGGGAATTTATTCAAGCTTCAGATTGGTGGATTGTTAAATATTTTTTAAAAATATTTGTTGGATAAGATATTCAATTCTAAATCTGCATTGAAGAGTTCTTCCCTAAAGGCCTGTTAGCTACATGGAAGTGACTTTGATCTCAAATATGAACAACACAGTGCAGGATGTACATTCTGCTGTTCAGTTACTTTATTAAGATGAGAAATAATGTAATCTGTTACTCGTCCTTCATTTTTGCTATGGTGAGATGCCTTTTTCCCCAATAAAAATGTAGAAAGTATCGTTTTGGCTTATTGTCCCATAAAAGGATTTTCTTGTGGGATTAATTGCACAAATATGTCCATGGGCATTCTCCCACAAGGTCCTTGAGATAACAAATGGACTGCTCCAGACACAGGATACATTCATCAGCCATTTGGACAGAGTCCGATAAGAACACCTGCGTAGCCTTGCACCTGGAGAGTGTCTGTTATTTGATACATTGTAACCACCCCTATATACGTCTTTTGATTACTCTGTGTGATGTAAAAACGTTAGTAACAATAAAATAGGGTGTTGGAGTCAGCTCTGGGCTCCCATCCTGAGATACCTGCGTGCGTGTCTCATTCTCCATGGGAGACCACCACATCTGGTGACCCCAACGTGATCCACTGAGGGATACGTCCCTGCTGACCCTTTACTTATCGCCTGGAATAGGCTTGATGCACCCAACGAAGTTGCTGGCAACTGACTCCTCTTCGTAAGTATGGGGGGTGGAATGTCTCACGTTCAAAAGCAGCATGTGGAAGAGCTGAGGCTACTTGGCAGGAAAAAATATCTTACTGATCAGGAACAGAAATTAACCCGTCACCTTTCTAAATCTGAGGCTGTTAAATTGCTTGCTTACGTATGGGCTAACTGCTCATCCTATCCAGAGTCTGGATCTTTAAAAGTAGATACATGGAGGAAAATCGGCACCGTTCTCCAAGAGCCCCCCCCCCCAGAGATTTTGTGCCTTTGGAAAATTGCCTATACCCTGATTCAAACCCATGCTGACTTGCCTCATCAGCCTTTATTAGACCCTCCACCGTACAAAAGTCCGTCTGTTATGTTGGCCACTCCCTTGCCCCCTGGAGCTGGTTTCAACCCTCCTTCTGCCCCTGCAAATTTTATGGATCCTGATAAACAACAAACAGCCTCTCCTGTTCCTGCCACGTTGCCGCCTGTCTCCCAGCCCGGAATCATCCGTGGTGCTTTTCAAAAGGCTTTAAACAATGGTGATTTAAGCGTTTCTGAACTATCCGAGACAGAGTTGTTCCCTGTTACTTACCAAAAGACTGCAGCAGGCATAGTGGTTGATTGGGAAGCACTTCCCCTGGCTATGATCCGAGAATTGAAAAAGGCTACAAAAGATTATGGCATAACCAGTCCCTATACTAGAGGACTGATACATTCAATTGCTAGTGCATATCGAATGTTGCCTCAAGATTGGAAAGATCTGTTCCGCATGCTTTTTAACGGAACGCAATACGTAGTTTTTGAATATAAAAGAGAGGCACAAAACAGAGCTAATCACCCAGGTTCACAATGGACAGCAGAACAACTCTTCGGAGAAGGCAATTTTGCTACCCTTAATGCTCAGGCTCAAACTTTTACTCCCTTTGCATTTCCAATTATTAATACTTGTGTTCTTTCTGCCATGGCTCGTGTTGATGAGTCTGGCACCCCGATTCAATCTTTTTCTGCCATTCGCCAAACTGCAACTGAATCCTATGCAGACTTTGTGAATCGCCTGCAAGTTGCCATTGAGCGTCAAATTTCAAACAGAGATGCAGCAAATGAAATCCTCATAAAATTGGCTTATGGACATGCAAATGCAGACTGCCAGTCCATTCTTAAACCACTTGTTTCCAGTCCCACGGCCACCCTAGCAGACTTTCTTAAAGCCTGCCGCATTGTGGGAACCAGTGCTTTTCAAATGGACACTCTTGCAGCTGCAATCCAAAAGGGGAATCAACCCCAAGGCATTTGCTTCAATTGTAAAAAACCTGGTCATTTTAAAAAACAATGCAGAGCCCCAGGAGGTGGCGTGGCTGGACCCGCTGCCATCCCCGGAGCCAAGCCCAAAACTGTGTGCCCAAAATGTAAAAAGGGTTTTCATTGGCCAATCAGTGCCGTTCCTCTCAGTCCAATCGGGGAAACTAACAGAGGGGTCTGCAGCTAACCCATCTCCAAAGGCTGCATCCTTTTCAGACCTTACTTCTTCTGCTTCGCAATATTTTTCTGGCATAGATTTAAAATTGGCTTCTGATCTTTCTGTTACTTTTCCTAACCTACTCACGGTTGCTGAAACCCTTTATTCTGGACCCTTGCCTCCGGAAACGGAGGGAATAATTCTTCCCACACCTGTTGCTCGGGAACAAGGAGTGTTTGTGCTTCCAGGTATGATAGATCCCACGTATAGAGACACCCTAAAAGTCCAATTTTATACCAATCTCCCTGTCACAATGAATCGGGGGGATACGGTGGCACGCTTGGTCTTATTACCACGTGCAGCACCATCCATTCCAGAGGCTGCATATGCACCTCACTTTGGGAATTCTTCCTCTGATTTATTGGCACTAACAAAGCAAATTACTCCCCAAAAACTGGTGATGCCTTTTTTAATCAATGGCATTCTCTTTTCTGGTCTTGTAGACTCTGGTGCGGATGTCTCAGTCATAAGAACAGCTGAATGGCCCTCTAACTGGCCCCTCGAATCCTCACCAGCAGTCAGGGGAGTGGGAGGACTTCAACAAGCAAACTCCAGTAAAAATTGGCTTACTGCACAACGAATCACAAAAGGCATTTCTGCTAAATTTAAACCTGTCATCCTGCCTCTTCACACAAATTTATGGGGCAGAGACTTACTCTCTCAATTTAATGCGAAGTTAACTCTGGAAGACTAACAATGCCTCCTTCACCCATGAAGCTTACGCTCCTTTCTGACACCCCCGTGTGGGTGGACCAATGGCCACTCACTTTAGAAAAACAAGAAGCATTGCAGAAACTGGTATATCAGCAAAGACAATCTGGCCATTTGGAACCAACTACCAGTCCTTATAACACCCCAGTATTTGTAGTCAAGAAAAAATCAGGCAACTGGAGAATTATTCATGATTTACGCCTCATTAACATAATAATTAAACCCATGGGTCCGCTACAGTGCGGAATGCCCAACCCAAATATGATCCCCAAAGACTATGATTTGGCAATTATTGATTTAAAAGACTTTTTTTACCATTCCTTTACACCCTGATAACAAACAACTTTTTTCCTTTTCTTTGCCTCAAACTAACATGTCCCGCCCTACTCCTCGCTATCAATGGACTGTTCTTCCCCAAGGCATGCTTAACAGCCCCACCATATGTCAAGCTTTTGTGGACGCTGCCTTGTTGCCTTTTTGCAAATCCTATCCTAACTTTTTGCTTTATCACTATATGGATGACATTCTCCTAGCTACCCTGGGTCCTCCTGGCACAGTACAAACTGTCCTTCCCCAACTCATTCAGCTTTTAGCTTCTTATGGCTTTATTGTCGCCCCGGAAAAAGTTCAAACCCAATCCCCCTTTTTATATCTGGGACACAAAGTCCTAGCCTCTCATTCTGTTCCAGTACTCCCTGCCATCCACCTTCCTTCTCCTCTCACTTTAGTTGCTTTACAACAAATCTTGGGCACCATAAATTTTGTGCGTCCATTTCTTGCGCTCACCACTGCCCAATTGGCACCCTTGTTTTTGGCTTTGCGAGGCCACACTTCCCCCTCCTCTGTTGCTGTTCTTAACCCTACTCAAAAACATGTTTTTGCCTTAATCAATAGTGCCCTTTCCACCCGATGGGTGGACCGAGCCATTCCCAATGACCCTTTGTCTTTGGCCATATTTAATACTCCTTCTATTCCTACAGCTGCCCTTCTCCAAGATCAAAAGGGGAGGGTCTCCATTGTTGAATGGATTCACCTCCCCAATACACCTCGCAAATCTATCAGTCCACTGCCATATATGTTTGCTCTTTTAATTACAAAGGGCCGTTTTCGAGCAAAATGTTTAATTGGATTTGATATTGTTTTTTTATATGTCCCCATGTCTCTTACTATATGGGAACCTTTATTTGCCTCTTCAGATGTATTGCAACTTTCTCTTGCTGACTGGGCAGGATCTGTTTCCTGTCATATTCCCTCTGACCCTCGCTTCCAACTCCTTAATAATGTTTCAATTTCTCTGCATTCTCCCATTTCCTCCTCTCCCATTCCTAACGCTGTAACCCTGTATGTTGATGGCAGCAAGACTTATGTTTCATGTGTATGGAAGGAGGGTGAACAATGGCACACAAAAATTACTCCTCCTCAAACTTCTGCTCAGCGTGCTAAACTTGCCGCTACAATTCTGGCCTTACAAACTTTTTCTTCTGAACCTTTTAATCTTATTTTAGATAGTCTTTATGTATATAAAGTTCTCACTTCTTTATCTGATTCATATGTGTCACCCTCATTGGATGACTCTCTCCTCAGTCTATTTCTCACACTCCGATCCCTTCTTCATTCCCGCTCTCTACTTGTTTTTTTCCTGCTCATATTAGAAGTCACCAACCTTTCCCTGATATTATCTCTGAAGGCAATGCCAAGGCGGATGCTGCCGCTTCGGCCGCCTCCACTCACCAGAACGTTTCTGTCCTTGTTTTATCTCCCATAACCCCATGGGACAGCCATTCATATTTTCATCAAAATAAGAAGGCTTTAATGAAACAATTTTCTTTAACAGCTACGGAGGCTGCGGCTATCATACAACAATGTCCCACCTGCACCCTCCAAGCACACTCTGTTCCTCAAGGGGTCAACCCAAGAGGGACGCAGAGCTGTCAACTTTGGCAAATGGATGTTACGCAATATTTGCCATTTGCCCCCTGGAAATATTTGCATGTTTCCATTGACACCTATTCAGGTTTTATTATGGCCACCCCTCAAAGGGGTGAGTCTGCTAAACATGTTATTAATCATTGTATTCGTACCTTTTCTACCCTGGGCAATCCAAAAGAAATTAAAACTGACAATGCTCCTGCTTATACCAGCACCTCCTTTGCACAGTTTTGCTCTCGCTGGTCTATTGTTCATAAATTTGGCATTCCATATAACTCCACTGGTCAAGCGATCGTGGAACGAGCCAATCAGACCGTAAAAAGGGCTCTAGACATGCATGCAAAAAAGAAAGGGGAAAATACCCCCGGCTTGCCTGGGATACAAAACACTCTTAATCTTGTACTTTTTACCTTAAACTTTTTGAATGTTTCTGGCACCCCTGGCTCAACTGCCGCAAGCAGGCATTTTTCTGCTTCTTCCACAGATTCTTCACGCCCCCAGGTATACTATCGACGTTTGCCTGATCCCACCTGGAAAGGGCCTGCCTCCTCATTACCTGGGGTCGA